CCAAAGAGCTGGGACTATAGGCACATGCCACCATGCTTGGCTAATTTTTCTATTTTATTTTTAGAAACAGGGTCTTGGGCCGTGCCTGTGGCTCAAAGGAGTAGGGCGCCGGCTCCGTATGCTGGAGGTGGTGGGTTCAAACCCAGCCCTGGCCAAAAAAAAAAAGAGAGAGAGAGAAAGAAACAGGGTCTCTTGCTTAGGCTGATCTCAGACTCCTGATGTTAGGAGTCTTCCTGCTTTGGTCTCCCAGTTTATTATTAGCATTACAGGTGTGAGCTACCAGCCCAGCTGGAATGTAGGGATTTAACAGGTTAGGGTGGTGGATTCTTTTTAACTGTTTACTTAAAACAATTCAAAGTAAAAAAAAAAAAATTTCTTTTTTAAAGATAGAATCTCACTATGTCACCCTTGGTAGAGTGCTGTGACAGTCACAGCTCACAGCAACCTCCAACTCCTGGGCTTAAGTGATTCTCTTGCCTCAGCCTCCCAAGTAGCTGGGACTACAGGTACCACCAACAAAGCCCAGCTATTTTTTTGTTTGTTTGTTGTTATTGTTTAGCAGGCCCCGGCTCAGCCTGCCAGTCCTGGTGTATGGGGCTGGCATCCTAATCACTGAACTATGGGCCTTGAGCCTAAAGTAAAACATTTTTACACATAGAAAAAGATTTGGGGCAGCACCTGTGGCTCAAAGGAGTAGGGTGCTGGCCTCATGTGACAGAGGTGGCCGATTCAAACCCTGCCCCAGCCCAAAACTGCAAAAAAAAGAAAAAAAAGTAAAAAAAAGAAAAAGATTTGGTAATCCTACATATTAGTATCTTAGAAAGCCTGGACTTTGGAATTAAATTGATATTTGCATCTTGGTTCATTATTATTTACCAGCTTTATGATCTTGGGCAATTTATGTAATCTCTCTCTGAGTAAATCCTCTCATCTTTATTTTATTTATTTTGTTTTCTTTTGAGACTCTACCTTGTCTCAAAAGAAAACCCACTACCCATTCTACCCTGGGTAGAGTGCCGTAGTGTCACAGCTCACAGCAGCCTCAAACTCTTGGGCTGAAGCAATTCTCTTGCCTCAGCCTCCCAAGCAGTGGGACTCCAGGCTCCTGTCACATGCCCGGCTTGTTGTTGCTGTTGTTTGGCAGGCCGAGGCTGGATTCAAACCCACCATCTCTGGTGTATGTGGCTGGCACCCTAGCCGCTGAACTGCAGACGCTGAGCCAATCCTCTCATCTTTAAAGGGGGCATAATATTTCATGGTTTGATGAGAGAATTAAATGAGATAACATTAACACTTAGCAAATGAGACTAGTACTTAGTTTTAGGATGAAACATACATGCTCAAGTAATGTGAAAGATGGGTGACACCATAGCACATAATTAAATCAGTCCTGAAATCTGGCAGTGATTATGAGATTGCAATGTTATGTGTTGATAGTTGACTCTGACATAAATTTACTTCTGTCTCAGGGCCAATCGAGGAGCCCACTGGCATAGAAAACCCAAAGCTATCATGTGTCTGCTGTGTACCTGTATTTGGCTGTCTGCTTCTCCCTGTGCATATGTGCATACACCCCTGTGTCACTTCTGTTCATCTTCTGTCAATCTTCTGTCAGTTTTCTGATGATCAGATCATCTGTGACCATAACAAAGCTGTCCAGGGTTGTAGTGGGCAGGTGGGTGTAGCCTTGAGATGCCTCTGGGTACCTTGGACTTCTGTTTGTGACTGAATAAACTATATAGCTTTGAGGAGATGGGTTGGCTGCCAGGGAGCTGATCTTAGGAATGAAGGCTACGTGCTTGTAGGTAACTGGGTGTTGATTTCATTTAGACTGATGTCATGTCTCTTGCCACAGGAATTTCTTCACATGGCTCCAGAAAAAGTGACCATCACAGTTCGTCTCATTCGTTCCTTTGAGCATCGCAATTTCAAACCTGTAGTATATCATGGAGTGAACTTGGATCAGACTGTAAAGGAATTTATAGCATTTTTAAAGCAAGGTATGAGATGTAATAGCCATTGTGTTTTAATATTTTGAATAAACAGTTCGGTATAACACTTATAATAACCTTTTAAAAAATACCAAAGTACTTTGAAAGATTAGGTTCTGAGCGAGGTGCTAGTCTGGCTCGTGTTCTGGGCCTTGGCATCTGCAGAAATGCCCCCTCCAAGGTTTCCTGTTTAGTAGTGTGTGTGCTCATCAGGGATTGTTACCATCATGTTTGGTGGCCGTTGCTTATTTTTTAATTAAAAAACAATACCTAGGTTTGTTTGTAATGGGTTGATGTATTTGATTTTCAGGCAGTGTGTGTAGCTGGGGTGTCACCTAGCAGGGGTCATACGGGGTTAGGGGGATGGGGTAGCAGATGCCTGTAGCCAGGAAATCATGAGAGCTGCTCGTCACTGGTCATAGGAGTGTTGTGGGCCACTGAGGCTCGTTTTTCATTTCCAACTAAAAGTAGGCATCAAGTCGGTCTTCATTTTGTTATGTCCTGTTATGATGGGTTTCTCACCTCTGTTTTAATCATCGCAATGTTCCAATTATTAACATTTGATTGAACATCTAAAATAAGCTTTTATTATTTTAATCGAAGTATAACTTATATTTAGTGCAGGGTACAAATCTCAATGTATAGTTCCGTGTGTGTGTGTGTTTTTGTTTTTTTTTTTGGAGTCAAAGTCTCACTCTGTTGCCCAGGCTGGAGTGCCATGGTGTCAGCCTACCTCAAAGCAACCTCAAATTCCTAGGCTCAAGCTATATCCTGCCTCAGCCTCCCAAGTAGCTGGGACTGCAGTCATGTGCCATACTGTCCAGCTAATTTTTCTGTTTTTAGTGGAGGCAGGGTTTCACTCTTGCTCAGGATGGTCTCAATCTCCTGAGATCAAGGGATCCTCCTTCCTTGGTCTCCCATTGTGCTAAGATTACAGGGGCGAGCCACCACACTTGGCCAAGAAATCATTTTTCAGGCATGTTGTATGGACATTCTGCTGCATTTTTCCATACTTCAATTAGATTTTTTTTTTTTAGCATCAAACAATGACTTTAAAATGTCATCTACTGAGACCTCAATCAGTTCCATCTATAGCTTTTTAGGTGACTTGGTGATATCAACTAAGTAAGGCCGAAATGCTAATTTGAGTGTAATGTCATGATTCTCAAAGTCAGTGAGCCTTTGCTGTGTTCTCCAACTAATAGGTCTAAACACATGCAGCAAATGATTGCATATAGCATCCTGTTGGTCAGTTACCTTTGCTAACCAGGGAAAATGTTTGTCTGAAATTTACTTTTGAAGAAGTGTTTTTGACAAGAAGATAGCTTTTCTCAGAATGGTTGGATTTTTTTTTTTTTTTTGCCAAATATCATATATAGACTTGATTTTACCTTATGAAGAAAGATTCAAGTTGTTTTGATTTGACATACCACACAGAAATGCTGCATTCCTATAGAAATCTTGTAATTCACACTGCTGATTCTGTTCTTTATAAAATTTAACTAGTGTGGTATGGCAAATCTACCCTGACTGCCTTATCATTCAACTTTAGTGAGTTAAGCTAATTGAAGACAAGACTGCCATGAGTCATTCTGTGAGGAGGGTAACAATGTTAAAAGTAGGTTCTTATGCACTTCAGAGAATTCTCTTATCCTTGTTGTTTGATCCCTCAGATTCAGGTCCCGGATGAGAGATTACTTACTGGGCACAATGCACATTATTTGGGTGAGGGATACCCCTAAAGCCCTGTCCTTACCATTGCACAATCTATGCATGTAACACAGTTAGGCTTGTATCCTATAAGAAACTGACAGACTATGTGCTTTTGCAGGAATATAATTAACAATACAACTTATTGCAAAGTGACGCTTAAAATAGTAGCTTTAGCACAGAGATTTTGATGACGCAAGATAAAATGAAAAGAAATGAAAGCATCTGGATCTGCTAATACTGTGCAGTAAAAAAAAAATCTGTGCAGTAAACCCTTCATGTTTTCTTTTCATGTAAGGTACACCATCTATACATACACTCAGTAAATTTACCAAGTGCAGTCCAACTTCATGACATGAAAGTTTCGTTTCGTTGAAACTTACTTCAGGCCCGGCACAGTGGCTCACACCTATAATCCTAGCACTCTGGGAGGCCAAGGCAGATGGATTGCTTGAGCTTGTGAGTTTGAGACCAGCCTGAGCAAAAAGTGAGACCCCATTTCTACTAAAAATAGAAAAACTGAGGCAAGAGGATCGCTGGAGCCCAAGTTGGAGGTTGCTGTGAGCTATGATGCCATGGTACTCTACCCAGGGCGACAGCTTTAGACTCTGTCTTGAAAAAAAAGAAAAAAAAGAAATTTACTTCATTCTTTGGTGTTTTAAATATGTTCATTTAAAAAATAAAAGATACAAAAGACAAAATGCATTAATAAAAATACAAGGATTTTTAGTACATAGTTTGATTTTGAGGAATTTTTGTGATAATGATAGTTAGCATTGCTATGTATCAGGTACTGTGCTAAGGATTTTACCTGGATTACCTCATTTCATTCTCACAGCATCCCTCTAAAGTAGGAACTATTATTATCTGCATTTTTCAGGTGGAGAAACTAAGGAACAGAGAATTTAAGAAGCTTTCCTGAGACCACGTGGCTAATAAAAAGCAAAGCTGCAAATTGCCCAAGGCAGTGTAATGATAAAAAAAAAATGTGTACTCTTAGCTCTACACTAAATGGCCTCTTTATTTGTCTCTGCTGCCTCACTTGCTTGAGTAGAATCTCCAAAACAAATGGATTCACTCAGTGCCAAGAAAGCCTTTGAATTTAGTTCATCTTGCTCAAGTGTTTTGAATGCTGAGTGTTGGAAGGAAGAACGGTTTCACATGCTGGTGAATTTTGCACAGAGACAGAAATGGTCATTGTAGAGAATTATCTCTTGCATTTATTTTATTATAATTGATGTTTTGTTGCCTTTCTAAGTGTTCTTTTCTTACCATACTCACTTTTTTTGGCTATCGATGGCTTAACCTAGTCACCTGCCATAATGTCTGTATTATTTTTCCTTAGCCAAAAAGCTTTGATTAAATTTGATTCATTTAACATTGAGAATTATCATCCTAGAGTATCATGTCATCAAAAACTAAAGTCATGTATAAAAATAATAAATATAAATGTGTATTTGTCTATAATGAGCCTATTGCTTACATATGGGGAATGAATAGTAGATATTCTGATCACAGTTGCCCCATAATACAGAAGAAGTGTATACACATTTTAGACAGGAAAATCCTATATTAAAATTGTAATAGTATATACTGAAAACATTTGTTATCTTGTATACTGTATTTTGTATCTCTTATAATTTCAGAAGTGAAATGTAACTTTGGTATTATAATTTTAATATGTGTTTTTCCTTTCTTAAAATGTGTATACTTTTTTTGGCATCCTCTGTATATTCTATAGGTGATTATTTTCTATATTGATAATAGTATACAAACCAATTATTTAGATAGTATGAGATTGTTGTAATTCTTTGATTTGAAAGCATTTTAATATTGATTAATACTTCAGAACTGGCTTCTGAATGTAAAATCTTGCCACCCCTGAAACAAAGGGAGTTTTGGAAGTTCTGTCCAACCTTCCAGTTCAATCTGATGTTTTTTTCTAATGATCAGAGTAGGGTTATGAGTTTTGGAGAGGAAGATCACCGAGGTAAAGTGTCACTTTTATCCTATCATATCCTAGGTATGTATTTTCCACCTGATTGGTGATTGGTGTTGACCTTGATTATGTGGTGGAAGTAGTGTCAGGTTTCTCCACTGGAAAGTTACTCTTTTTTCCTCCCTTTTCGTATTGTACTTTTTGGAAGAAAGTCACGTGTACAGTCCACAGTTAAGGGCTGGGGAGTCAGGCTCCCTCCTCTAGGGTGGAGTATGTACATAATTCCTTTGCAGTTCATCTGCATGGGAGATTTTATTTATTTTGTTGCTCTAGTTGTTCTAGTTTTGGCGGTTGAGAACTCTTCCAGTTGGCTACTGTGCTCCTGTGACATTTGCCATCTCTGTGTGTATCAAGTACTTTCTTCTGGTCCAGTAACATGCTCTGTGCATGTGTGTGTTGAATAAAGTAAAAGTGTGCTAACTCACCTTTCTGGTGCTTCAGGATGCTGCAAGGTCATCTTGTGTATTTCCTGTCTCATGCCTAGAATCAGCCCTTTGTCCAAAGAATTTTGGTTCCTTATTATTGGAAAATGGTGTTAGAAACCAAGGACTGGATCCTAGATGTACTCATGGCTACTGGAGTGTCATTTCTTTTAGGGCTTCTTAGCTTAGTTCTACCAGCAACTTTTCTTCTACCCCCTTCATCTGCATGGGAGATTTTATTTATTTAACTTCAGTAAGGTTGTTTTATGTACTTGTAGGACCAGCTACTCGTGTCCCATCTGCGTTCTTTCCTGGGATCTCCTGACTTCTTAAATAATTGTTTTTAACTTCGTATATATTAAAGTTCACTCTTTGTGCTGTAATATCCTCTGGGTTTTTGACAGCTGTATGATGTAATGTTGCCACCCTCACAGTGTCATACAGAACAGTTTCACTGCTCCGAAATCCCTGGTAGCCTTTTCACACTGGCTTCTTTTGCTTAGAAACGTGCATTGAAGTTTCCTTTATGTCTTTTTGTGATAAGTTGTATCTTTCTAATCTCCCTTAGTCTGGAACAGTCCCTCACTTTCTTTAGTCTTTCATTATATTGTTTTTTAAAGAAAAATCTAGGGTAGTGTTTTATAGAATGTTGGGTAATCCGGATTTGTCTGGATTGTTTTCTCATGATTAGATTTAGGTTGAACATTTTTGGCAAGATTACCACATAGGTCAGGGGTTAACACATAATGGCCTGCAGACCAATCTGATTTGCCATCTGTTTTGTATGTGAAGTTTTATTGAAACATAACCAGGGCCATTGGAAAGCATAATATATATCCTTTTATGCTTTAATTACAGAGTTTTGACAGGAACTGTCA